ATCCCTAGTTCAAGAAGGATTTTCTCACGCCGCTTTTGCGTGACGAACATACTCGAATTTATGGACACCCAAACCCAGGCCAAAGACATGTATACCATGTTTTTCGACATCTCAAAAGCATTCGATGGAGTCCTACATGTCGCGCTGCCCTACAAACTAGAGTGCTACAGGATTCAAGGGGAAATTCTACATTATACTAAGGCCTTCTCATCAGACAGAACATTCTGAATGAAACTAGACTCGATCTCGCGAAACGCATTCATTTTCAAAGAACTTTCTCTTTGCGAGTGACTCACCTTAAACCCGTTTCGAACAATTTTCAGCAACCTTATGTGTAGTGCATTACGTTTAGACTCGATCAACTCTTCTCCGGCGCCTGTCTCCATTTGAGTTCCTCAAAACTCCGTTTTACAAACACTGCTGTTTTTTATAGACATCAATGACCTTCCAGATGTTCTTGTAAGTCCATGTCCACCTTTTGCAAAGGACTCGAAATCCTGGAGTTCTAATGCCTTTGCCCCCAAGTGGTTGTAAACGCTACAAAGCAGTGGTTGTTGGGCTGACATCCGGCTCTTACTGACGAAAAAGCGTTGTCATTCGAAGAAGATACAGATAATTTTGGCGTGTAGTGCTGTGCTGTAAATGAACTGTCTGGACGGCCCCGTAACATACGTCAAGTTTGCGGCAGTCTGACAGGGTAAGCCTATTTCTGTGGTGACTGGATCTGCGTTAGACGAGAGGATCGATACGAACAGGGACTGGCCGGAGAGGATAGTCGGAGTGTGCAATGTCGAAATTCAGCACAGAGCCAACATATCTACCCCACCGCGTTTTGAGCCTGCTTAGAAAATGGAGTAGATGTCTACTGAGATCACAGTGTCAGGGAAGTCCAAAGCCAGGTTTTTGTGGGCGCGATTATGAACACTTGTTCAAAGCAAACCGGCTGCCGAATGTGGCGAAGTGTTGAAGTGACTGAAGCAATCCGAAAACAACCAGTTCGGCAATATCTGTGCTGCGTCCGAAGTTAGGGAGCAGAGGAGTTTAACATTGAATAGTTTATTATTTTTAATAGTTTTGCGCCTGATTTGAGTTCAGGTTTTCTAATGGGCCTCTGCTGGGCACTGTCCGTCTTCTTGACTCATGTGGCTCTGATGCCTGCTATTCGTTTATAGTAGACTTCTCTTTCTGGTAACAGGTTATGCGTACCATTGGTCTTCATAGGAGGTTGCTTTTGTCCCCGTAATTAAAAATTTCCGCGGTTGCGGTTTATGGTTCATGTGGTGCCATTTTTGAACCACTTTATTCATTGTTGTTTGAAGATTTTTGGCGAACAGTCGTACCTTCGGATTCTTGAGCCTTCCAGCATTGATTCAACGCTAAGTATAGATCAAGCAGCAAAAAAGGTAAATGGGTTTGGACGAGCAAAAGGCGGAACTAATTCCGAACGTACAGCGTTACTTACTTTCTCAAAATTGTGGAACAACTGAAGTGAACGTATACAATGAATATAATCAGGCTGTATTCTTAAGTATGACTTGGTTCACTCCCTTGTTTTACGATAACACGCGGGACTTGTCTGGATGAAAGCCTCTGGCTTGGGCCCACACCGCACCCGGATTGCAATTCATATGGAATTGCTGACAACCCATGTTTTAGTCTGCCATTTCTGTGGCCATGTACACAATTAAATCCGACATACTCTGGCCGTCGTCTAAGTCCCACCCACAGCTCCTCTTCATTATCGCGCACAATATGATGATCTACTATCCATTCCCGTTCAGATTTGTCCGACTGAGACCCATTTTTACCTACAAGGAGTCGGCAGCTCTAACCGCCCATTGGTCATTTTGGTTAAGCCTGTGCTTCGAAAGTGTCGCCTTGCTTTATCCGCTTGCATATATCCGTTTAACTACAATCGCGCTAACGTCTCCTAGGTTCGCGGATGGACAAGCGTTACAAGACATGGACCTCGAGTCCATCAACTTTGGAAGAACGAATGCATCATTTCCACGCTAGCCAAGGCCTATCCGCGATCCCTCTTGATACTGTAACCGCTGGCTCATTTCCAGCATTACTACGCGGTCATTGTGCTGGTGAGTGGATCTACTGTTCTGTATTCATCCCTCATTTGTCTTCGTTGCTATGATCAGCAGAGCAGAATGACATGTCATAGACCCGAAGCATGCAAACTCTCAATCCTGGCAAAAAGTTTGTTCCTGATAAGAGGATCGTTCTTGGCGTCGTCAGCAGACGACGGAACCGAGGAACTCTCATTTGTGCCACCAGAACCGGTGAGACAAGGATCCTGAAGCATGAGTAGGTGCTGTGAAGATCAGCTGCGTCAGCAGATAAAACGGGAGCTTAATGTTTCTTACGTTGGTTTGACGAAGGCCAGAAAGCACGTCCTCTACAGTGTCTTGGCGAGAAGAAGGCGGCCGCTGAATAACAAAAATACACAAACCACTTACCGAGGTCTACACGGCTACGCCAAACCCTGGTATGGACACTGACTAGCCTTCAAAAACTGGATTTAAAATTCCCAAAAGCGTTGGAATGGCTGCATTTCAATAGGTTAATTTGTGGTTAAGCGCGTACGCTCCAAAGTCCTCAGAATATGAGCCGAATTTCCAGTCCGCTTTTTCTAACACTTGTTTTTCTCCCAGTTCTACGTGTCCCGGGTGAATGTACGTTAGTGATGCTCGCTAGGCACAAACTATCAACCATCCAATTCCATGCAAAACAATGGAAGAGTCTCGGCAAATTGCCGTTAGTTTGGTGGCTAACCGACAAAATGCCACCGTCCACACTAGGGTCACCCCAAACTGTTGGGAGCACCATTCGTACCGACTGGGTTAAGTGACGGCTCGTGAATCCAAGGATTCCTACGGAGACCCCAAACAATGTAATGTTAAAAATTGGAAGCCAGATATATATTATGTATACGGTCTCCAGAAGTCACCCTTACTTGCCATCCTAACCGTGCACCGGTGGTTCACCTTTGTCCCATTTTCATACCCCTGGTGGAATCCCACAAAAACGTCTGCCTCTAATCTTTATTAATCTGTGCTATAATAATCCCTTCTAGCTATCAACACGGTTTGCACAAATGAAACACACATGTGAACGTCAACTCTCCAGTTTTACAGCATGCCATTGACGGCTGCATTTCATCAACCAAAATTAACCTCCTGCATATAACCAATCAGTAAGCCCCATACACAAATTGAAACATATTCTGTCCTTTGCCTCCCCAGGTTGTAGTTAGTGGCGTTAGCATTATCTTCGTGGTTATTCAGCACAAACACTAAGGACTTTCCCCCTCGTACAGTGGTCTTCCACCATTACCAAAAGACGAAGTGATCAGCTGACCAGGGAAGAATTCCCAACCAAGATCGTTCATATTATTCGTGATCTTTCCCATATTCGCCCACCCCTGATGGAGTTATGCCGCCTTCAGTAACACACTGGGTTTAACGGCAAATTAAGCACGTCAGCAAGTTTGTGGCCTTAGCCCACAAAAATGCAGTTGCACTTGGGAATTTTCACCACAAGGACTTTCACTCTTTAATCCAATGCAGTCTGGTGGTAAGGTGAAATATATTAGAACATATTGCATGTGCTCAACCTCTTTCATTCCGAGGTCACGAAAGCTTCCCACCAGTTTCACAATGGTGTCCTGCGGGCACACACTCAGAAACTACGCCGGCAGGCTGACCAAGGGTCACTTGTTTCATGCCATAGGCAAAATGTTTGGAACAACCCTTTCGGGAAACACTTCGGACCCACTTACTCAGTGCCTTTCTGGGAGCTGCATCAACCGATTTCTGTGACCTGCACTTTAAACTCGAAATGTGCCTTTCAACCCACTCACTGAGCGCCACCACTCTTTCATCATTCCATCACAAATATCCGTACATGAAATAACAAGGTTGTAAGAAACTATTTTTACTAATTGGATCCGTCGTGGCGCCCGCCTATATACCTATAATCCTTTCAACCCAAGGTCACCCTTTACCTTGAATAACAGTGGGTTTGAGGTTGGTTTCAAATTCTTTGACAGCCCAAAAGTTCGTCGCGACCTATGGGACTACATCTCATTCCCATCTTCATCAGCTTTTTTCTTCCCACCGATTCGCAAACTGGCTGAATGTTTCGTCTTTTTGGTGAAAGATAAAACCCTGCGGCATGTGAAAGCAGAGACTTGATTTGAACTCGGTGACTTACAGTAAACTGGGGAAAGTAGATACGAAAAAAGAGTTCATCCTTGCAAAACATAATGTGGGTAAAGGAAAAATCTCCTCAAATAGAGCTCAAAACCATGCTTAAGTACGGAGGTCGGCACGAGTGTGCTGCTGACCACTCTGGGTTTGGCGTAACCCATCCTCGCATGCCCTTACTTACCGATCTGTCTGACCCATCACATTTCACAGATTTGTATTTTAATGGTTTGTTCCTCCACCAGCTCAAGAAAATCCTTCCCCATTTGCTTGATTGAAATCGATGTCCTTGGTCTTCTTAATTGACGTTGCTTGTTGACCTCCCGTACTACCCGCATGGACTTCCAAATACTCTATAGGGCCTACGTCAGACCGCTCCTGGAGCATGACAACCAAGATGTCTACTCAGGACGCACGAATGACGTCACCCTCATTGAGCGTGTCCAGCAATCCGCTACGAGAATGGTTGCCGGCCTCAAATCCGTGGACTACGAAACGCGTCTCGGAATGCTTGATCCCGTTCCCCTGGAGTATCGTCGCCTCCGAGGGAACTCAATTCTTACTAGTGCCCTGTTTGAACAAAGCTTGGCAAACAGGTTTTTCACCGTTGACTCAGCAAACACCCGGCGGGGACATAGTAAGAAAATTTTCAAGCTAAGAGCACACATTCATCAGACAACATTTCTTCTCATTTCGGGTAGTAGGTGCGTGGAATGACTTTCCTCCGCCGGTTGTCCACGCTCCTTCTAGAACCCAGTTTAAAGCACTATTAGACATTTATTTATGCGAATCCTCGCGCTGGCAAGCATACTGCCCCGCGCTGAGAACATAAAGAGCAGCGCTACACCCCTTCTTCACTTGTGCCTTTCAGGTGAACGGCAGCCACTGACCGGCAAAAAAGGGAAACTTGGGCAAAAGATTCGATCCCGTGTATCAATCCGTGACTCCGTGAATCCATGTTATTTGGCTGGTATGCTTTTGGGCTGAACAAACTCAGGAATATTCTGAGGTGGTTATTTATCGACGACTGGCCATGTCAAGTAAATTGGACCGGTTTGAGCTATTCCGACAGGTTAAAACACTTATTGAGAAACACGAAGAGTATGTGCGCTTGGACGGCTAGAAGTTGCAACTGATCAGTTTGGCCAGTCATATCTCCACATTCGAACCTTATTTAGATTATTCTAGTCCCAGGTTTATGGAATTGCACTGTTAATATTCTACAGACTGCCGTTTAGAACTGTGAGATGGCTTTATAAAGACAGGAATTTAAACGTTCATCTCACGTACATTAGATCCAGACGTCATCTTCCTCCATGTTTTTGACCAGATTTATGCCCCTAACCACTTGGTTGCCCGCTCCTCAGAGGTGTGCTTTAACCATTATGCAACTAGTATACTAATACTGCGAGGAACTTCTCCAGATAAGATGGCGCACCTTGAGTGGGACAGTTTTTCTGGCTAGAAAGTTAACCGGAGGTCTGGAAAACTTGGGAAGTGTCTAGAAAAGACGTATAAATCCGTGAGAATCCGGCTCATTAGAATAACTCAGATACCATGTACGAGAAAGCATCAGCAGTTATCCGCATACGAAAATGACTCTTCTACAAAAATGTCATTTTACGTTTTTGGATTGCTCTATGTTCTGGGTGCATCTTTTAATACAAATGATTACATTCTTAGTGCTCCGCATTGTTCGTTTGACTGAACCAATTGCCAAGGTTGCTGGATGCCTCGGCCCCAAAAATTAAAGTGGTGATAAATTATTGCTGATGTAGCATACGGTGTCTGTCAGTTTGATTGATTCATATGTAAGTACTAGTGAGCTACAACCTCGCTTACTGAGCCTTGGCTCATGAGCTTTATTTCTGTTTTCCGCCTTCGGAGAATCACTGTCCTCTGGTGTTTCCATAGCGTGCATATTAGACTAATTGTGAGTGGAGTGCTAAGTTCTTACGGCTACTAATACCGGAATTCTTAAAATATGTGCTTTGTATGTATAATAAAGGTAGAGGGCGCTGAAAAGAAGAGTGTTAAAAGGCGTTTTAACTAAACAAAGAGTGATACTTGCATGCACAGGAGTGTTCGCTGAGTGAACCCTGACTTAATTAATATTTCAATCTTATATCGGAAATTTTATGTAGTCGAAAGTTTTGTCATTAAAAGCGTAAACGTTTACCTGGGGGTAGGACTGAGGCGTTTAATTCGCTCCCAAGGTTTTCATGCTGTACTGCGAAAAGGAGTAGAAGACCCAGGTCATTTGGGCGAGATTTCTTCACAGCCGATTACAGTTTGGCTCAACCCAGACAATTGATTTCAGAAACTTTTAAAATATGGTGAGTGTCATTAATGACACTGGCAATTGCCAGCCATTCTGTAAACTGATTTTTTCTGAAAACTTTTTCAGTTGTCCCAGCCGACCACTAACCACGGTATCGAGATCAGTTAAGAATAATGTGGTCTTTGGCGAATCGACATAAAACTACCATACCACGGGGCCATATATTAATGTGCGTCGCGCTCCACTCCTTCACGAGGGCTATGTTGGCGTTGATTCGAGTTTGGCTTATAAAAACCCAGTGGACGGTGCACACCACTGCAGTTGATTATTCGATGCTTGTTCAAGCTTGCTGCCATGTCGCTTGAATGTGCTGGTGCTAAATAAATGAGCAGTTCACCTCAGGTGAATATCAGTGGACCAGGGCGCATATGTCCCGGTGTGGCGGTCCTCTGCCAAGAAATTAGAACTTATCGTGGTTCAACAAGTATCGATAACTGCAGCCTAATAACCCCCACAGTGTATGTATGCCCGACAAACACAGCATTCCGAACCTCTAACTCGAGGTTTGGAGCAAGTTCTTTAAAAAAATTTGGCTACCCCGTCAGCCCTACACCAGCCGCGTTGCCTTGCACAAAGTTCTTGAGTGGAAAGCTTTGGTTGAAAGTCGTAGTTGTTCTTCTGTCTACCTTTAAAGCGTATACTCGCATGGGACAGGTTAATTTATATCTGTACCCTATCGAGTGTTGCGTTGTAAGGTCAGTCCTGTCACCTTGCTGCAAATTGCACGGTGGATAGGCAAAAACTGGCGGCTGTCGGCCCGTTTTATCCTCCTTCCTTGTCACTGTCAACTTATTCCGCATATAACTCACTTTTCTATAGATTCAAAGTGTAGGCACATCAGTCGGAGACGTAGAAAACTGACCAGATACACCCCACCACTCACTGCTGCTCCATTTTTGTTATCCAAACCCTCCTTTCCTTTCTTCATTGCAATCGGCAACTCGCTAGCTATTAAGCAAGTTGGCAAACAGGCTGCTACTGCGTTCATTCTCGATACTTTGTGTATAGACATTAGATACATTTCCAAAACTCAAATGTAAGATCCATTGGGCATACGGAAACCACATTCTCTCTACAGCACCGAATTCCGGGTGCCTGCAGTAGGACGCCTGTATTGACGCAGCTCTTACGTAATTCAACTGGTTACCATTAAACAGTCTGATATGTGCTGCCAAATCCTCCACTTACCTACGATCTTAACTTCCTAAGCCTCTGGATGAGTACTCCCAGGTAATCAGATTTATGATAAATGCAAGCAGTCATCAGTTACCCGAGAAAGACTTCCGTATTTTCATCACATTACGACGTTTCTCGAAACGTTCAAGGTCGGGAAAATGAAATGGAACCACACATCCACTTTTTTAAATTTGCTCTGTCTAAAAGTCCTTGGGCATCCGGTCCCAAGGAAAAAACGGAGGCTACTTAAGACCTTGCGACGATTGTTGTACCCTGACCGCCAACTCACTCCTCCAACTCATACTTTTACTGCTGAGTGACACAGGAATTGTCTTCTCTAAAATCCATCTAATTCAACATGACTGTCAGATTTCCATTACCGATGATGAAGCTCCAGACGTCGTGATGCCCATCCCTCTTGAATGACGTAACTATGTTCGTATGCCTTCGCGCTTACGTAATGCTGCGCAAATATTCCACCATTTCATTGACCTTGGTTCTTTCCATACGAACTTCGTTTTCGTTTAGATCGATGTTGTGCTGACTGCTAGTCTGGATATTACAGAAACCGTTTTTCATGGTTAGTCTTCCGCCAATCTATGCGATATGGCATTACCACAAATGCGTCCAAGTGGTTTTTCGTGTATCTTCTTTGGAATTTCTTAGTCATCGCGTTGACTCTGATGCAGTAAAGCCGCTCCGCGAGAAAGTTATCGTGATTTCAGACCACCATGTCACACAGCCATCTAAAAGTTTGCGGCGATGCTCGAGCACAGTCAACTACTTCACCCTTTCACCTCTAACCGTTCAGCCCTTCGAAAGTCTCTGACTGATCTGCAACCAATGACACAGCGTAGTCTCTGAACCCACCGGCCGTCGATGCATTTTGTGCTGTCAAAACCTCCTTGGCTAACGCCTCTCTAATTGCACACTTCATTTCTAACTCGGATATCAAGTTGAAATTACTGACTGGTGTATCTCAGTTTGACTTTGGCACCTACCTTCAGCGAAACCACTCTGGTGAATGACAGTCACTGGCTCTTTTCTTCCTAAAGCTGCAGACCTTGGCCATGATTCCTTGGCCCCCGATCTGGTTTTCAAACATTCGGCACCCGAAAGGCAGATCAGTTTTTATCCATACAGATCCAGGAAATTTTGCCTTTTAGATGTCTATGTTGATATGGTCGGCTCCGCACCCCGTTCGATGGATTTACTTAAGATTTCACCTTTTGTGAGCGTTTAGACCCTTTGACTCATGCGACACTTACCCGTGAAGTGGATGCTAATACCGTTTCAAACCATCTGTAAACTCTTGGGTATCTTTCTATGGAACCCATACAACCATTACCACGGATGGTGTATTCCAGTTTACTTCCAATTCTTTCCGCGAACTTGCAAGGCCCATTTAGAATTGAGCACTTTCGCACCACTGCACACCACTCCGCTGCCGATGGCTTTATCACCAGCTGAAGGCTAATATCAAAATTTCATCTAGCAGGCATTGGTTGGAGCAGTTGGCAATGGCCCTTGTTGGATTGTGCAACACTGTAAAGGGGTGCCTCGGTTGCCTATCTGCAGAACTCATATATGGCGCTAGTGTAGGGTTAGTTTGCTAGTTGGTGGTGTATTCACCTGTCTCAGGTAGACTTAACTTAAATATGAGCTCACATTTTTTGTGCATCCTTTGAAACAGCGCTTGCGTTACCTAGGGCAAAATGCCGCATCCCGTCCCATAAAATGCGCTAAGATCATTAGTTGGTCTCCTTAATCTTAGTTCGTTTTGATCTTGCGACGTTGGCAGTCGTGTTTTCAGGCCCTTTATCATTGGCGTGATGGTCACCCATGTTCTGTCAACACTGACGGTTTGGAAGTAGCGTATATTGAGATGCATCCCTCAAACACACTTCCTTGCCTTACCGTCCAGTCTTCCATAATTCTTGTCCCTTTCTCCTCGTTATTTTCCCCGGTAACTACATGCTCGTTTTGTGTATCGAACGTTTTTTTCATTTTGGCACTCTCCAGTTGCACCTTGTAGGGTTTCTGTTCCTCCTTCTGTTGGCCCAGTTGTGATGTAACCCTTTTCGCTTATTCTACGTGGAGTTTTTGTGGCTCGTTACATGCATCGCGCCTACCCATACTCCGTCATGCACACAGATGCGCCAGCATGTTTACTCTGGCAATTCCCTCAGCCTGATTGTCGCTCGTGCTTGAACTCCCTGTTTCGTCAATTGTAAATTTAACAATTGTACTGTTGTTTTTGGTGTATGGACATGCGACTCGGTTTGTACAGATCAAACCATATTCTGGCAACCTGTTCTATTCGGATGTCGAACTTTTAGAACCACTTTTATGAACGAGATTAGCGAATGATCAAAATTTCCGTATTTGGTAGAGATGGGCTTAGATCGCTTATTATCCTACTGAGTATTAGGTGTTTTAGTTTTAGCTTGGAACTTAAGACAGTAACTTTGATCTGAGGCCCATCACAGACCATTGTACGAACAACGGCACCGCATTATGAAATCTCATATGGTTGACTATGGGCACTATAGGGTGGACTTATTATTCTTACTCAAGGTGTTTGATCAAAAGCGATTTATGATACCACTCTGTTTGTTCTCAGCTACACGTGTCACACACAGAAGGCTACAGTTACACTTTGGAAGTTAGCTGGAAGACGATTAACCGCATACCCACCGAACCTCCAGAGATTACCACAGTTATCAAATTGAGACCTTTATTGCGTCGGCATTTCATTGGACTCATGGAGGCACTGTCATGAGGAAATGCTTTGTCACTCACGACACGTCTAATGCCATAATTAATAAAAATATAGCCAACCTGCTGCCCCTTGACAGTTAAAACCAGTCAGTCATTTCATCCTTCATATCCACACCCAACTTAGATAAATGAAGTACTTACCGCCGATCCATGTTTTACAACGCTAGCGGAATTTAAATCCACAACCAGGTCAATCAGTCGCCAATAACAGCGGGTCCTCTAAGAGAGACCTGATAGTCCACAGAAATAACGTTGTTCAGAAATGGTGCTGGTGTTGATGAAGGTCTTCAAACCCCTGGTGTCTAAATCGTTACTGGTGGGGGACTTTGATCTGCAGTACGAAGACGATGTCGGCCTCATTTTCGAAGAACAAAGACCAAGCGCGAACTCTGTTGAATGAACGGACAACCATCATACCACCTGTCGATATGCACCTCGCACCTTCAGAGTGGAAAGTAATGCTTCAGAACATGCAGTCTCTAAACATCCCTTTTGTATTTCAAGGAGAAGTGGAGGAGGCCGTGCAGAGTCTCAGGTACTTCGGCAGTTGTTTTAAATCTGACGGATATGTCTGATGAAGTCAGTGCACGAATCTCGAAATTCCGAATCATGTTTGCTTATTCTCGTCACTTATGGCGTCAAAAAGGCATATCACTGGGTCGCATGTGTCCTGTGCGCCAGGTTGCATTAAGGACTGTATTGTTGTATGGATGCAATCCATGGCCTCTGAGGACAGATGATGTTAGGCGTCTTCAGATTTTTTGTTACCTCGGATGCCTCAGAAGCGTTGCTAGTATCGGGTGGCTTCAGAGAACTCGTAATTGTATCATTATAGGACGTTTGATTGTGCGAAGGTATTTCAGTCGTGGGAACTATCTAGAACCATCGGCTATATGCCACGCATGCCAAAACATAACCTATCAAGACTAGCGTTGTTCTTCGTACTTCCTTCAAAGTAACACAAACCACGCAGAGTCTGACTTGGTAGAGGTGTTTTCGGCGCCATCCGTATTCCAGGTTGGGGTCCACCTGACCCCCGTGCTTTGTTGGAGACTTCGCAAGAAATGGCGACCAAGTGGTTTCACTATCATTAATGCTGTCAGTCTCTTTCCAGATTGCCTGACTAGGTTTAGGCACTCCAGAATGCTTGCGATTGGTCCAAATTAGTCACTCTCTCACCTGTTTTCTCTTCTCCCCACTTTGCCCTTAAATAAAATTAAACAAAACTCGTGGTTGTACGGCAGTGAAGCATCAGTATTAGTGCTGATGAAACTAACGTTTGCGATCATCGCCGCCTGATTTGCTACTACTTTGGAAAGCCAGACGTCCTCATCACAAATATGACTTCTTGGGGATAACCGCGCCTTTTAAAACGCCTTGCTCTAGAAGTAATGGATATTCCTTGTGCGCTATACTCATTCGTTTTAGGTCGACCTAGGCCTCCGAGTGCCCCAGAATATTTGATGGCAAGTGCTTGGAAGTCCGTCTAATTCGATCATTTTCATTTCCTCTTAAAGTGCTTCCGACCCTATTGATTGGCTTACACGCCAAAACCTGGACGATATGATCGCACTCCATAAAATCAGTCAGAGAACCAACTACGGGAACCGCCAAGAGATAATTTTTGTACCTTTTGTTTCGGAGTTCCTAACAACCCTCATTTTTGCGGATGAACATCCATCATTAAATTCTCTGTGCCCGATGATCCGGAAGCAATGACTCGTGGAATACATGACGTGCTTCGTTGGATTGAGTGTCAGCAGACCGTCCTCTTTACACCACTCGACTATCCATCTCAATCAAGCTCAATGCCATCTATATAAAAACCATTGCCTGTTTGTAGCGTCTGCATATGACCAACCGACTGCATTTCTGAAGCTAATACGTACCCTTTCCGTAAATGTTTAACCGAAAGCATTTGTCAATTGGAAGGTGCTGACATTCTCATCCTTCGGGTGGCATGAGTACTCTAGTCCATCGCCGGAGCTCCTTGGAATCATATCCGGGCATTCGATTCGGAGTCGATACTTGCCGTACAGACAACGGAGACAAACTTCGGTTGTGTGGTGTCAGTCAACCGGTTCTGGTCAACAAGAATTTTTAACACAAACGCTCATATCACGCAACTCAGCTGCCATCATACACAAGCCAGCAGTGGACTCAGATCACTCGGCTATCAGCCATCCATAGAGAGCCACGATCCAAGGCCGCCGCCCCTTTTTCCACTCCACGCCCGGACCTAGCCGTTCAACAGTGACCGTGAATATTTGGAACCAGGACTTTGATTTTCTAATTAGTATTTTCAAAATTCAAGGTTCTGCTGTCAAAGTTCCGATCCTCCCATAGCTCTTCAAAACTCGGCGGTGGACCTGAGATTTTTGTTAGTCGCGTTAGCCGTGACCATACTATGGCGGCGTTCGTCATGGCGTCTGTGATTTTCTTACTACATAAAAAGGGCCTAAATTATACGGTATGTAAATCATCTTAGCATTCTATAACTTCTAGGCTGCTGCAGCTGTTTTTCATTGTACACCGAACCTTCTTGAACAGAATTTGTTGCTGGAGCGATCTCCCTGATATTGTGGTACTCAAAACACGGTGCTCAGATTCGTTTAGCTCAATATACTTTACCATACAACATCTTGTCTCTTATAGTTTTCTAGCATAGGGTTTTGTGATGGATTTTCAACGCTTTATAATGTAAATTTTTCGTGGTTAGATAGAATTTAGGTCCATTACTAGATATTGGCTCATCGTTGGCAATAATGATGATTCATTTTTGACTACAGCACTTATGATGAGAGTGGGTTTCCGGCTCATTTGGTCTGCGTTTCTAACGGTGATTGCCAGTTGTGTGGCCTACTTTTTCTACGACACCTATAGTGTTTATTCGAATGCCCCGGAAATAACATTCCCCAGTGAAGCTGATGTGAGCAACAAACTCACCAATATGGAGTTCTTATCCACTCTTCCCTACCACGGATGCGAGAGCCTCGTTTATCATGATGGAGCACTGTACATGGGTGCAGTTGAGGGAAAAATTTTGAAGATGGACGATTCTGGACTTCATGTTCTGGCGCAGTTTGGCGATACTAATTGTGGTACGTGCACTTCACCTAAACGGCATCTTTCAGCTTCGTCTCACACTTGTGGACGGCCTCTTGGGATGCGCTTGTCGCTGGATCATAAGGAACTGATTGTGGCGGATACCCATTTGGGCCTATTTTCGGTCTCCTTAATTGATGGTGAGTCTCGCCTTTATTTTATAGTTTTGTATTCAGGAACCCATAAAAAACTGTTCCCTTTGGACGGTACTTTCAAGGTTACTTGTTTCAACGACTTCGATATCCTTCCAAACGGCACTGTGATTTTGTCGGAATCGAGCACTGAGTTTCCTATGGACGATATTATGAACATCATTTTCAGCGCACGACCCAGTGGACGGTAAGCTTCGTTAGATGCAGCATCATCCGCCCACATACTGCCCATTACACTTGTCAGTCTCGTAGCACTGATGCACCTTGTTTTGGCTCAATGCCCAGACTTTGCCCTACTAAGAGCTGAAAAAAAGCTCGTTGTACGGAGCACAATTGTCGCTTTTTAGTTTCCATGATAAAAAGACAAAAATTTATTTGACATGCTTTTACATAAGGTGTGTTACTAGAGCGAATTATGTCCATCGGGACTTTATACCAACGTTGTTCTCCATCTTAAGAAGTGTAAATTTTTACGAAGCAGTCAGTTTAGGAACTTTCCAATATCGTTTTTCAAGGTTTACATTTCGTTTCTCAAGTCGAGTGTGCATTTTAAGTCGAAGCTGTTGGTATTTTAATGGCTTTTCCGAACTGAAGCCGTACACGTAATCGAAGCTGTGATTAACCTTTTAAGTGGGCGTACAATATTTCCCTAACAAGTAATGCTATTCGGAATCGCTTACTGAGGCCGCTGTGCTCAGGACTTCGACTCAGACAGCTTTCTTAGAATAGTTTTAAACCAATCAATCACACAGTTCAGTGATCTCTTCAATGCATGCCAACTGCGTATTATTTGCGAGTGAACTTTCTACCGGCGGGTTTTTCGGGAATTTGCTTGCTAATCTTCCTGATTAACGTTATGCGACACCAACTTTATTTGCTGTTCACTTATGGAGACAAATAATTCGTAGGTATATAAAAATAGATCGCTCAGCTGTAACACCCTTTCGGCGTCTGGCTGTCATGCTACCTGAAGGAAGCACAAGGACTGGAATACTGCCAGGTTACCCAAGCCTAGGCAGGGGGAGTCGAGATGCAGAGGTCGGGTTCGAACCACGAACCTTCTGGTCAATAAATTCGCGCTCCAACCACAGCCATCTCGCTAATTGCATCGACATCTTCAATATCAGTGTGGCTCAGCTCTGAGGCGGTTTTTGCGCTGCACATTTTGGTGATTTGGAGGGACCACAGGCCAGCAATGCACCAAAAGTTTGTTTGAATCCATTTCAGACCGACCGAGCATGCAACTAAATAATTTATTCAATGCCAACGTATGAACAACCGACAAGTACGAAAGGAGTGCGGTTTTATCCACCTCTAGCAATGTGCCAAGGTCATGCTTACTACATACGCTCAGCTGCACGCTATCCCCAGACTGCGCGCACTACATGCACTGAACTTTCACCAACTGAAGCACCAAGTTCGCTCTCAGTTCACACATATGGAGTGGTTTTGTAATGGTAAATGACGCTGCTTAGAGCCCACAAACTACAGACACTGGACAAGGAGGACGCTTTCGCTGATTAGCGTGGCCACCTCAGGATAGTATACCAAGCTACGCCCCTTCAGCTAAAGATCTTCTCCCCTTAGTGTGCACATTAAGGGGGTGAATCGATCGGATCACTTCTTATTCCACTTAGTCAAGCGCTAAACTGAAAGCCAGATCAGCTCCCCGCTGGGTTACACTCGTCAATCCGAAAAAGCCATCGTTTTCATTGAGAAACTAAATAAATTTATGATTTGTGGGAAAATATCTGTTGGCCAACTTTCATAGATCCATTCATTGTACCCAAATCAGTGGCACAGTTTCACTTTCCCAACTTGATTTCCACAGGTGTGCTTGGTTAATGGAAGATAGAACATGGCAGACTTCCACCTTCAGATGCTAATTGAGGGTACTTTGTATCAATCTGAAAAGTCCCTATTTGTTGTGTTCTGGTCGGCTTTCCGCTCATTTTAAGGGCCATGCAATACGACGTTTTGAGCTTACCAAAACCTTTTCCTCCAGGGATTGTTTCATACAGGAAGGCGGTTACTTAAAATACCATATTGTTCATAGTTATAACTTCCCTTCTGTCCTCGAGGGCGAGAATAGGGGAAATATTTATTTTTGTTGTGCAACGAAACGTTGCCTAATCTTGAGATGTTTTTATTTTCTCAGCATTCTGAGCATTGACCTGGCAACTGGCGAATGGCGTCAGCTGATGGATGGATTGGCTTTTCCCAATGGAGTTCAGTTACATCGGGACGGCAAGTCCGTTTTGGTTGCTGACACCGTCACCAGCCGTATACATCGCGTCCCTCTGGATGGCAGCACTCCGACTCTGTTTGGTGGAGAACTACCCGGAGTGCCCGACAACATTCGAGCCAGTCCCAGGGGAGGATATTGGGTTCCGGTAGCCAATTTGAAAGACACATTCATTTCACATCTTACGCAACGTACACGTCAAGTGCCAGCGCTCAGATGGATTCCTCCAATGGTTTGTTAATTTCGTCATACAGCTTTACAGCTTATTTCATACGATTATCAGTTATTTTTGAAGAGCATGGTCACAAACATAAAAGTGAACAATGGTTTGTTAATTTCGTCATACAGCTTTACAGCTTATTTCATACTATTATCAGTTATTTTTGAAGAGCATGGTCACAAACATAAAAAGTGAATACAAGCGATGAATGCGAAAGAGTAACAGGAGAATATGAAAGAAAAGAGAGAAACGTCTTATTCGAAGTCATGCCAAGGACAGTTCCAGTCTGATGAGGTGAATCCCAAAGTATGTAAAGATTTTAATATGGAAACACTCGTCTAAAGACCAACAACCGAAGAAAGGACAAACAATGGTGAATGCTCTTCAAGGCGCGGTAGACGCTAGCACAGTCAAGAGTCGCACATCAGGCACCTATCCTATTAGCGTATTTTAAAAAATTGTTTACCCATGCTAGAAGTCAAACTTGTACTTTCTGACCGTTTGTACGCACCAGCCCGCATACTTGAGTTCATCAGCAACGCTAAAATTTGACGCTGGTCTTTGATAAGTGATTCTATGTAAAATAGTTTCTGAATGATTCAGGTACAAACCATTCCAAACATATTTCGAATGAGAGCTCAGGTTTTATAGATTTAGTCAACAGATCGAAATGTATCTGAAAATATTGCACTGTGTTGTGGGATGGTTACTTGTACAGTTGGTGTAGAATTTCTAAAAATTTCTAAAACACAAGGTCTCCGCTGTTTGTTGTCTCGAACAACTTCACCACATGGCCGTAGCTGAACAGGCAAATTTGTGTCCGTTCAGGAGATTTTGAATACACTTCCGAGTTGAGATCAAACAAAAGATTCTGACCTTCATATCTGTGGTTCAAACCCAACTCTGATTTTTTTACTGCTGTTTTTGGGTTTCGGCAATGCGGCAGTGCCTGAGCCCTTGCTCTTCTTGTTGCATGGCAAGTCTACTTCGAAAAGATACTATTTTCGATAAATACACTTATTTGCAAATCAACTCAGTTTTCACGGGAAACTCAAGTGCATCTCTCGTTCATGATGTTCTTCAAATGAATGCCTAACTCAGTCCAATTTGGGCTCAAGTAGAACATAAGGTTGACGGAAACTCGGAAACTGCACCTATCTGATGAGCCCCAAGAAGGACAAAACCGGTCGTCGGCCACCTTGTGAATAGTTTCCTTTATGAAAATATACTGCGATACTATTTTATTTTTGCGACTGTGCCCTTCGGAGGATGATACTGAAAGTATGTGATTACTAACCTCGTCCTTCGAAATAGTGGCCCAGAATTGTCAGCCTCTCAGAGTGCCAGTTGTCCATTTTAATAATTTCTTTAGCATGCCTCCAAAGCACACTTTTCTTGTTATATAGAAGAGGCAGCAGATTTGGCTGCGCTTTTGTCTGAATGAAAAGGAACTCTTAAAATTCATACATTGTGCCGCACATTGACCGTCTGGCCGTAACATCTTGCTGTCTTATCGATTTCGTTATCATTAAACCACATGACAATCGGTTGCCATGTCTGAATCATGAGTCCTTTAAACCAGCCCGTTTCTCTACACAACTGTGTTTATCTCTCTCGTTTTGAAGAGAACTAAGGTTACCACGTGGGGTTTGAGCGAGAAAATTGTCAATGAATGTCGTATAGACGGATAAGTATTGCACTATTTCAGTCCCCTCATGTTTCCCATTGTTGGCTTGGTAGATGTTTACCCAAAGGACCTCCCATGTAAATAGTTTTGTTCCATCTTTCACTGGGCGTGCGTCCCCACCGAATCCTAAAAAACCGTGTTCGGTGACCATAAGTTACTCCGAAAATTCTTCCTTTCTCCTTTGAAGAGAAGCTGAAGTTGTGTAGAATCGACTTCTGGTGCTATTCTGAATGGTTGGCGCTTACCACATGAACGAATCTGTCACCGTTTTACTACCCTCATATTCCGTTGACTCATTTATTTCAGCCGTGTAATCCTCATTTTCCCGTTCTTCACCATCCCTACAGCTGGTCAAGCTTCCTGTCTTTGAACGACTGCGACTGTCGAAGTCTGCCATGATCCTTCGTCTAAACGACGATGGGGAGGTCATTGAGGTATTGCGCGATCCCACAAACCGTGTGCGTAACGTAGCTGAAGTCTGCGAGCACGATAATGTAATTTATACCAGCACTTACTTTTTACCGCACATCGGCCGTTTGCATCTCTAATGGCCCGAAACCCAGGTTTTTCATGACATGCTTTCAGAGACCCACGTGTCTCACATCGTGTCCGTTTACCCGTAGCTCAGGTGTTTTTTATACGAAAGTATTGTGTGCTTACGAAGCTTGCATCAAGATCTGTACGATTTGAAGCTTATTAGTTTTTTAGTTATTCTTAGAATCCCATACTTTTATTGCATCCAACAATTATGATTCGCAGGGATTTTTTTGTTGAAACCTGCCATTGAACCGCTTCAATTCTGTGAAACAGTGTCCCTTCTGTTCATTTTTTTTAACACATGTGTCTGATTTTATTAGATATATCTTGAGCGTTCAAATGATACACTTATCGACAGAGTAAATAATTATGGGCGTCAATGTATGGGATATACTGAAATTTTTGGTGCCTTCCTGCCAAACTAAAATTTCATTATCCAAATGCAAAAGTGCGGCGCCGTCCCGATTGGCTGCCCTTCCCATGAGAACCCCTTGGTGAGTAGGAAATGTATCATTTGCCAAAAGAGTTTCCTTCCAAATGGAGTACTGTACTTCGATATATCGAGCACTTTGATCGTTTCACTATGCGCTGCGCATACTGGTTCATCGGCTTGCTTCAGTGAGGGCGACCCTAACATAGATGAGAAGCCTGTGCTTTGGTAGACGGTGTGAAGATATCTACAAAAGTCTAGGGAGGTTCGATGCGACTTGCCTTTCAGCATGACTTTCACTGGACCTTATACTTGTCCGGCTAAAAACCGGCGTCAGTTAAATTGCTGTCCGCTTCGTCCTCCACGATATTTGGAAGTCCACACATCTTACGGTGTTTTGAACGGATATTGGCTGGCTTCCATATGTTGTTGTAGCGTCCCCCTCATTAAGGAACGTCATTAGGACTAACTGACCTGTCCATGAGTGAAGCGTTCCCTCGGTGTGTATTCACCCTGAATTCTAGGCCGAAATCCCGGCTTTCGTTACAGTTTAGATGAGCCTGGCACTAAGTTTTTTTAGAAGCGAACAATCGTATTTTTCAACTTGTCCATTAGAAGTGCAGTCAGCAGGCCGAAATTTCCAGGTTTTGTACGCTTCTGATTCGAATCTGTTATGCTACTTGGACACCTCATTGGGATCCAGATACTCTCTTTCGTCGCAGACTTAGCAACAACCGAAAGGCCATATATAAGTTCAGATCTCGGGGCTTTTGTCAGGAGTTATTGTGTGCAACAACTCATTTTCCGGGGGTATTTCGATTGATACAGTCGGATTCTGTTATTCGTGACTGAGGAAAAAGATCTATATGGAAAATATCTTTTAAAAATCCGACCGTTTATGACAAAGTTCAGCATATTGAGTCAGAAAATCAGTCCATTCAATCTTTCGTTATGGACAATTTACCAATAAAAGGCAAATAGAAAGAACTAGTATACAAATTATCACCATGTTCGCACACCTCAGCGACATTTCTGATCAATCCCTTGGGGTCCTTCCACACTTCGATTATCTGTCCCTCATCGTTCAGTCGAAGCAACATGGCCGAGTTTGTGTCCAAGTCGATATGAATTGGGACGTATTGTAAAATCTAACAGAAATGTAATAATGGTGTTCCGAGGGTTAGGTGGAATACCGTTTCAATAATTTTGAGCATCTTGCTATCGTCTAAACAGTATGTATTTAGACCGATCCAGACAGCAGTTGCTTTTGTCATTGGCTGTCAATTTTGCAATGCGCGTAGTAGTTTGTTCGACTTACCTGCCTGCGCCTGCTTGGATCATGAGCGTGCAGTAACCATGTAGGAATCCGTGCGACAAAGAGCTCAATGAGAATATACATATTGGTCTACATACAAACATAATTCACAGAATGGGTGATGAAGTATTACAGCGTGATGTGTCACTTCCACAAGCACTGGTTAACGGGGCAACTTATGCCAACGGACACTGCATATATCAGAGTACTGCAGTAACCATTCTATCAAATGTCGTAGTTGAGGTGTCATGTCAGAGGCATTATGTCATGTACCTGAATGTTACTGCATTTACGGAGCAGGTTCGTCAGTGTTACCTTTTTAGGAAGCAAAACGAGAGGAACGCTGTGACCAGCTGGTTAGCTTTTTTCCCGAAACGATTCTTTGTATGAAGGTGGGACTTTCTCCAAGGCCTTTTAGAGGCGTAAAGAAGTTGAGGTTACCATGGGCAAGCTCCTTCACCAGAAAAACATGTTAGGAATCGCTCCTCTTTTCCGTCTTCACTGTTTTTGCTCTACCGTTTTTCCAACGGACAAATATCCAGAATCATTAAACTAACCACTAATCTATTGGTATTCTTGTCAGCATGCTGTTGTGACGAACGGAATCACCTCACTAACGGTTCACTTCAGAGATGGTCGTTTATTTCTCGTCACGCTGTCCGCTTCACAACCAGCACAGCATTTGTGTCCGTGGAAAGCACACATTTGCTATCGCCACTATCGCAAAACCAGCTCTAATATTCTCCTGACATACAGCTATCGTTAACCTCCTAAGACGAACAAGGGCCGGCACGGTCAGAACGCCCAACCCATCACCGAAAAAACCAAAAAGTACTGAGTAACTCGCTCATTAAATCGCACAATATCAGCAAAGCAACTTTCTGGCTAAAACGCTTAAACATCCCGGGAGGTGACATCTTCCCAAGTGAAAAACTGTCTACACAAAGAAAGGCCTTTCGTAGTGTTGCGAAACAAGTATACCTGAAGTAACTGAAAGTTAAATCCCTAGTGGAAACTATACCCGACAGTCATTTAATTTCGACTTACGTTGGACAAGTAGAGTGCATCCCCATTCTGGCATGAGTTAATGTTTTTCTCATTACCCTCTCTCAGTGTGTAAGAAAACATTCAAACTAACTACTTCCTCTCAAGAGGTAACACTTCTTTCCATCGCGGAGAACATGGTAGAGGCGAAAATCGCCCTCGAGCAAGCAAACCGTTCAGAGTCAAAGAGTTGATGTTTTCTTTTAGGCGGTTTAATCCTTGTGAGGAGACCGTACTGTCGAAATTCCTTGTCTCGGTGGCCCAGATGCATGATATCTCTATGACATGCTCGAGTTTGTGTCCTAGGCACGGCTGATAGAATAAACTGTAAACAAATAAAATGTCTCTGGCTGGACTTGACTCGCGTTAGCCGTTAATTTATCCCCAGATACGGACTCAACTCCATTCATTGGAAAACATCATTGTTGAAGTACCAATGGAGTGTAACGCAGCTAAAGAATAGGATACATCAGTGCATGAAAGTTCTGTATTTCTCGAGTTCCCAATGTTCACCGCTGTCCTCGTGGCTAACAAAGTGGCTTCGCGGTAATTTATCTTGATTAAGGTAGAGTCAAAGAGTTGATGTTTTCTTTTAGGCGGTTTAATCCTTGTGAGGAGACCGTACTGTCGAAATTCCTTGTCTCGGTGGCCCAGATGCATGATATCTCTATGACATGCTCGAGTTTGTGTCCTAGGCACGGCTGATAGAATAAACTGTAAACAAATAAAATGTCTCTGGCTGGACTTGACTCGCGTTAGCCGTTAATTTATCCCCAGATACGGACTCAACTCCATTCATTGGAAAACATCATTGTTGAAGTACCAATGGAGTGTAACGCAGCTAAAGAATAGGATACATCAGTGCATGAAAGTTCTGTATTTCTCGAGTCCCCAATGTTCACCGCTGTCCTCGTGGCTAACAAAGCGGCTTCGCGGTAATTTATCTTGCTTGATTAAGGTTTCGTCCAGTAAGTGAGGCCAGTCTTTTGTGAAAAGCCGAGAAGCACTGTACAGCTGTTTCATCAGCGGTGGGCATCTCACGAAACTCGCAACCTTCTGGCCAGTGGTTGAACTAAACCGTTTGAACACAAGCGGCTGAACAACACTGCGATTGGCTCTCTCTTCGACGGGCTTAGATCCTGGAATCCAATCTTTAGCTCTACATATTCTGGCAAAAGACTCGGTGAGTAGGATATAATAGCTCTAATCGTTATACTACTACCCACGTCAGGTGCGTTTCCAGCCGCACCGGATTCTTAGTCCTTAAGAGTCATAAAACCGCATGCGGTAGTATGTCAGCTGTCACAGTCAACCGTTTGGTGAAAGAATTGTGGTTCTCAGGTCAGTCTCTTCTAGCCGGTAGTTAGCTGAGGAGCAGTGTGAGTTTACACCCAAGGCCACCTCGCACTACAACTGCTCATCACACGGGATTCGTTTTTCTCTGTGTGGCTGCCATCTTGGTAGGGCTAGACCTTGATGGAGTTCTAGGCGGTGTCTCCCGTTGGATCGTTGCAACACTGAAGCTCCATTACCACGAATGGGTGTCGGCTTCTGGTCGATAGGGCATGCATATATATGGCGAACAATCGAAGAGAGTTGTTCAACTGGTGTGCAAATTAGGTCTTCATATGGATTGTGAGACATGTGGAAATCACATCCTCTGAGAGTGCGACCGAACGATCGGACCAAGCGGGACACATCAGTTTGTGAATATAGAATACCGTACACACAACTGACTGTCGGATATTTGTAAATTACTAACAACGCAGATCTGCTAAACAACCACGTAATGGTAAAAATAAAAACAACAGGTTGACTGGTTTTTCTCGACTAGTCAGTTTGAGCCGGGTTGGAAAAACTTCCATACCCTAATGGCCTAGATGACATGCGCTTTGGTCTCCATACCAGCCTCATGAAATCGACTGGCGAACAACCGGATAGAAATGAAATTTCGGTGCTCCAATGTAGGAAGCACATGGCAACCTTTTTGTTGTTTACCTCTGTATGGGGAATATTTTAAAATCTATTGAAGGTGAATCTGTGAGGAGGGATCCAACGGACTAGGCCAAAAACGACCACCAGAATTCCACATTAAATGGATAGACGAAAGAAGCTCTCACAGGCTTGAAATCAATGCAAAGGTCAACGGCAACTGGAATAGCATCTAAAGTGGCGTTTTTCCACTTCTATTCTGGCTAAAGTACTTTTAGATTGAGGAGCCGGAAGGGTTTCACTCGAGGGTTAAATAGGTTCAGCCAACCTCAAAGATACAGTTGCCTTCCTCAGGAAAGACCATCCCCCAGAAGAGGTAGCCTTTAGTTAGTCCCCTAGAGCGCCTATTAGGCTTTTGGATCATTGGGGGATCATCCCTAGGCACACACCATAAAGTCATTTTTATCCTGTAACGTAGGATTAGGAGACCCACCACGAGTAAATAGATGTATCTCCTGCGCTGCAGACCAGTGCACTTTACCCAAATTGGTAAAACAAATCCACTAGTTCAATTCCTGTGAATCCGTAGTCCATAAAGAGTGGGCTTGCACAAACTATTTGTTTTGGATCTTAGACTTAGGATTTCTTATTGTACACCGTGTTTACC